TTGGAAGGAAATATGTTGTTAAATTGTCTTCAAATATACAACATTCAAATAATTTCCCTTTGCTATTATCCTTCGCCAAGCAACTAATTTAGGACATCAAAGATTAAAAACGAGAATACTTTACGCATAAAGGAAATATTTATATATGGTCAGCTCACCTGGGTAAAGCCTTCATAAATCACTCAGCTCTCAAGGAAACATGAATCAAATAAAAGATATATTTGAAAGGCAAGAAATGAAGCAAAGATCTGAGTACCTTGTATTGCTCTACCTTGGAATGACTGGAGTTCTCTAAATCCAAAATCTGATTAGCATATTTAATCTTATGCAGTGTCAGGAATGGTCTATTATCCTTTAATCAGTCTATTATTATCCATATTAATCATTCTTAATAACTTATTTTTAAATATACTTTCAGTGCACAGTGATGCACTGTGTGCTTCTGTGGCTGAGGAACTTTGTTAGAGATGTGCAGGAAATGCAGGCATGGTGTCCAAGTGGTAGGGACGAAGTAGAAAACAAGCTAGACAAAAAATGGAGACAAACGGTGTGGTTCCGCTATTTATGTGGATCAGGTTTCTCATTAGGTAGTCCATTTACCCCTGTGTTAGGAATGGGCTGAAGCATAGGGAGTGGGACAGAGGGTAGGTTCTGATTCACAGGACTTCAATTTCAGTCCCACTTGCATATCCTGTGTTGACCTTGAGAAAATCATTTGACTTTCACTAGGTTCCATGTGTTCATTTATAAAACTGGTATAACTACCACAGGCCCTGATTTAAAATTTTTGACATCTCATGAAGTATGTAAATGGAAATACAGTTTAACAGTGTAGCGAGACAGATCTTTTGCAAAAGGGTACTAAGAGATGGAGGGAGGGGGAGGGTAAGTGGATGGAAAAAGAATTAAGATGTGTCATGGAGATGTTCCAACTCCCCACGAGGAATACAGTCATTATACACGGCAAACACAGCAATAAAAATAAAAGTACAGTCTAGAATCTTTGAATAGATGAAATATTATTTGCTTATACTAGCAGTATGTATTTGTCATAGTTTTTCAGATTGTATTTGGTGAATGTTACTAGTGCATAATAACAATTTAGGTTCTTCTGTTCTTTGAAAGAACATAAATTATGGTGCATGCATAAGAATTTGGAAAAAGGGAGATGTTAAAGAGTTGAAATGGGGGAGGTAAAATGGTCTACTAGGGAAATCAAAGTTTTCCTTTATCCAGAGTGGGTCTCTTAAAGTTTGAAGTAAGATAAAGACACACTGAAATTATTTATTAGCAAGATATACGTGGCTGGAGTGTGAAAAGTACACTGGAATAAAACTGGATGAAAGGAGATAAATTTAAGCAGAAACCAGGCAAATGGCCTGAAGTAGTACAGTGGTGGTGAATGGGGGGAAGGAAGGAGAGGGAGGGAGAGAGGGAGAGAGGGAGAGGGAGAGAAAGGCAGAGGGAGAGAGAGAGAAAAGGAGAGGGAGAGAAACAGGCAGACAGAGGAGAGACACACAGAGATAGAGGAGGGAGAGGGAGAGAGAATAAATAGAAATGGATCGAGACCAGGAGAGGAATAAATTGAAATTCAGGAAGTATTTGGAAATAAAGGGCACAGTATTTAGAGACTGGCTATGGAGTACAACTGAATAAGAAATAAAGTAGATAAATTAACAACAGCAATGCTCAAACTTACATGTTGGGCACTGACACTGGGAGAAAAAATAATTCAAGATGAGTAGTATTGGGGAGATCCAGGAACATCTAAGTAGGTATGTTCAGTTGATTACTGGAGATAGAAATTTAAGAACCAAGTAAATAGACAGAAGATTCCCTATAAATCTGTAGAATATCAATTGTACAAAGACTGAACTTGAAAAATGACCAAAATTTAAGAGAGTGAACATTAAAATTGAGTGCTTTAGTCTACGCAGTGTGGTATTTTTGATCTTTTGTAAGCAGATTTAGAGTGAAACACTAACACACATTGTTCTCCAGTTATTTGTAAACAATGTGTCTTTGCAAAATGTACTCCCTCTTAGCCAATGAAAAACAATTTTACAAGTTTCAGAAAATGAAATAATTATCAATATCACTTATATAAACTTTTGCATAAATATTTTTATTCTGAGAATAAACTAACCAGAGAGTTGCTCCTTTAGATTATTGTAAAAAGGGATTCATAGGTAATTTTTAGAAATACTTTGGAAATAATTGGTTAAAAGTAACCTTCAGGAGGTCTACAAGTCATTTGAATGTGTACAATTTGTTAGTACTGATGTTAGATACACTGCACAAGGAGAAGGTACATACTGTTTTTACTGCTATTTGTGTTATAGATTTATCATCAAAATGAAATAAAAATGTGATTACTCCTGAGATATAGTAAATAACTGGGAACTATAGAAAATGATTGGTATGGCAAATGTGGTAATTCAGACAAAGTAAATTAAAAATACATTCTGCTGGGTGTGGTGGTGCACGCTTGTAATCCTAGCACTTGGGAGGCTGAAGCAGGAGGATTGTTGTGAGTTCGAGGCCAGCCTGGGCTACAAAGTGAGCTCAAAGCCAGCCTGAACTGCATAGCGACCCTGTCTCAAAAAAACCAAAAAAAAAAACCAAAACCATTCTGGAAATATTCTGGAGGTCCATGCAGATCTATGCTTATTTCTATTGCCCCACAACACACGGAATTCCCACTGTCTGCCATATTCACTCCTACCGAAGCCCTCACTATGCTAGTTGCCACCAAGGAGGCCCCTGAGCTTTCAACCTGCACACATCACAGGGGCATTTCTTCCAGGGAGTTCTAAATTTTCTAAACAGTTTGAAACTAGAGTATTCAAACCCATTCCGTAAACACAAGCCTACCAAAAAAGTATGCAAAGTAACTGCACTAAAGCTGTTAGATAAACGGCATTTAAAATCACTTTACTCTCACTGATAGAAGTGGTTTCAGCTCACTGCCACCTGAGAGCAGTAATAAACATTAATAAGGCACTCTACCGTCGTGTTTAGACCACGGCTCCAGTAGACAATTTGGCTAGAGTGAAATGGGCAGGTTAAAAAATAAACAAAAGTTTGCTTCAGACTACATCACCTGTTCATCCCCTCTGTTCTAAAACAGGTTAAGACCATCACTTCCAATCACTACTCTTGGGTGCAACTTCCTATTAAAAATAAAACCACTCACACAGTAAGTAGTGAGAAGAATGTTCTTAATCTATTGAAGTGAGACAAAGATCTGGTGTAGTACAGTTCCTTTGAGCCCAGGGATAGAAACCTAGAACATTTTCTTTCTTTTTGCTGCAGTTTGTTGCTTATCAGACTACCAGTTACAAAGAAAAATGGTTCTGTTGGCAAAATGGCTTTATTTTTTTTTTTCGCCTAACTTAATTTCATTGCCTCCCTCACTATTCTGGAAAGCGTATATAATGGGAGTTGTGAATGAAATGTCCATTGTCTGGTGTTAGGACTTTGTCTGCTTTGCAATAAAGACAGAATCATAGTATTCTGGAAGGAATAAAGAAAACAAGAGCTGTTTTTGCCAAGGAGTACAGTTACATGTAGATATTCTTCAATAAAAATACAGTGAGGAATATGTCTATCTGCCCAAATGCTTTATTCAATCAGTTGGAAAAAATGTTTTTTTCCCAAACAAGAATTCAGGCTATTGAATTCCTGTTTTTCTCATAGCATTATTACTTGAATGGTCCTTCTTTTGACCATTTCTATTTTAAGAAGCTTGAGTTATTTGAAAATCTATTGTATATAATAACCTATGGTACAGTATGAGAGAAATCTTATTGCAAACAATATAATCTTTCAGAAGCTGGTTTGAATTCTGGCCAAGTAACCTGGTGAGGAAGAAAATAAAGTCCAGTGAAGAAAAGCAAAAATCATTTTTAGTATTTGTTTTCCTGTTAGCTCTTAGTGACTTCTTGCAGATGTAGGTGTTTGCCATGTCCCCCGCCTCCTCAGAATACATCCTATCCCTGTGGCACTGCTGAGCATTCTGCCCTCTCAGTCACACTCTCAGCTACCTAGAACATCAAACTACCCTGCCCTCCTTCCCAAATCTCGGTTTGCCTCAAGACTTAGATTTTATTTTGAAGACAGAAATCCCTAATTTTTCACATTGAACTTGTTTTGCCCTACTCTGTTTACTAGAGAAAATTGCCATTTAACAAACTCAAAAATTTCACTCAACACCCACTACCTACCTAGCTCTCATATATATTCAGAACCAAATAACTGGTTCTAAGTTCTAATAAAATTTGCATTGTGGAAATTTTATTCTACATAGTTAATGAATTTATTTTACAGAACACTTTCACCTAATGTTCTGCAAATTCACAGCACAGTTCTAGGATCAGTTGTCTACTGTTATTGTTTTATGAGATTTAATCTAGTTTTTTGGGGTCAAATATTTATACTTCCTTCTTCTATTTCCTGGTTTCACTTCTGTCGTAGTCTCTTCTAACTTCATTCAAATCCCTACCTGAATCTTAGAGATTTCCTCACTTTTTCAAATGAAATACATGTGCTTTTACTTCTTCATGAATGGTAAACAAGTAACAATTTCAAAATGCCAAGATTGGCAATATTAGAAAAGCAATAAAAATATACATAATACTAGGTATATACAAAATACCAGTTTTAACCCTGGAGGTTGAAAATTATTTACTATCTATGTGGGCTTGCAAATTCATGTGTACATGCATGTATTGATCCCAAAGAACAAAATTTAATATTCCAATTTTTCTCCAGTCCTGGAAATCAAACTCAAGGCCTTGTGCATTCTAGGGAAGCACTGTACTAATGAGCGGAATCCCCAGCTCTCAAATCAGAACTTTATTCCATACAATGGAAACTTTAAAGGCTTTTACACTTTTTAAATAGTCACCATACTTTATAGAGGGGATAATGATGAAAATTTGGCTTTTTCCACTTGTCAAAAGAAATTTATCAAAACATTAAAAAATGTAAAGCACACAAAGCATTAAATAAATATTTTAATGTCACATTTGTTTCCATTAGAATACATTCATGACACATCATCAATTTTTGAATTGACTATTCCTTCTATTTACATGTACCTGTTCACCTCTCAGAGGTTAGTGATTTAGTAATAATTATTAAACCAATAATTTACTTAGATACTCATTTTTCTCAAATACAGGATTAAATATCTGAAACTAAATTTATAACTGTAGTTTTTGACACTTTATATTTGACTTTCCAACTCCACCATTAGTTAGACCCGGAATTTTAGAGTGTAATATTAGAATCTGCAGGTATTAAATGTACATCTGGAGTAAAACTGAATCTTAAGTCATTGTATTTCATAATAACCAAGGCACCTTATTTTCCATGTAACTATGCAGTCACTATTATATCACATCTATAAATGTTCTGCATCTTAATTTGGTTTAAAGTTCTGGTATCAGTAAGCCTCCATTAACTATGAAAAACTGTTCATTAGTAAACGTTTCATCCAACAAAATTATCTTTTTAAGGTAAATATTAAATATTATACCTAAAGATTTATTAACATTCAGCAAGTTAAATTTATTTTCATCCCTTTTCTTAATCTATTCCACATATATTTTTGATTAAATCTTATTCCTATTAGAGGGAGACTCTTGCCCTGGCTTAAACAGTACAGGCTGTTATAATTAATTATTGGTATAATTTTCACTAATTGATGAAATGTATCTTCCAGGATTTCCTTTTACTTAACTATCAAATAAAAGCAATGAAATCTTTTAAAACAATTTCAAAATGGTCTTGCAAAATACATGTTTCTGTGCTGTAAAATTGTGAACTACTGTACTACAACTTACTTTCTGTAGAGTCTTACTGATTCAGCTGTGAAATGCACTCATTTTATTAAGCCTTTTTTAGAATGCATTAAAGTCAAAATCAAGACATTGGAGCTAAATATCGTTAAGTTTTGATGGGAACGATCATATAATTTATTTTGCTAACACAGATACATTCCTCATCACAAAATGAAATAAATCTGCTTTTAACTGAATACGTAGATGTATCTGGGATTTATTTAATATCTAACCTTTGAGGATAAATCCTTTCAAATATGTATAATTTCAAGTGAAAAAGCAGAGAATCTTGATTTATCTTAAGAACGATTTTGGGCACACTGATTAATTTTAGGTTTAAGACAAATCCCAGACACAGTGATATGCTCTCATGTTAGTTCTCCTAGAACTGGTTGTTAAAATATGAAATTCTTAGCATTGGGCAAATTAGAGTAGGAGTCACACTGTCATAGCTAGTGTGACAGAACCAGGAAGAAATGGTAAGTGGGACTGCAACAGAACGATGAGCAAAACTCAGATCCTGGTAACTTAAAGAACCTTTATGGCAATGAGATGATTAAAAATCAGTATAAGCCCAAAATTCATTAAAATTTTGTTTCATTTTCATATAAGGCATCTTAGTGAGCAGACATTAATACCTAAAGAGGCCTGAAATGTAGGGTTATTCACATTTCTAGAATATATTTCTTTACAACATGATGTCTCTTACTAGAAATAGGGTTTGTAAGATAAAACTGTATGCACAATCAAAAATTTCACTCTCATTCAAATTTAACGAAATCTGAGGCAATGTTGAAATTTATAAAAATGTGAATTCTATGATTAATGAAGGAAAATATTTTGACAGCCCCACAGGGTATTTTGTGTTATGACACTCTAAAGAGCATTAAATATTTCTAGTCTCAGTTGAAAAGTGGTATTAGAAACAAAATAATACTCAAAGCCTAATACTTCGATTTAGAGATTGGGGTTCATTCCAATCCAGTGTTTGATTAATTGATGTGCAATGGCTCGGCTTGGTGGCACAAAAAATGCTTGCTGTTTCCCTCTGGTTAGAACATCCACAACCTAAAATACATAATAAGATACATTAGGATTTCAGCACCGTTGCGTGTAGGTACTACTTCCATGCTTATGTAATTCAACTGAAACGCAACGGCTTTTAGAGTGAATAACAACAGAGCAAAGTGACGATATCCATATTCAAAATACAAAATTTAGTACAGCATTTTTAATTGTTTCACTGAATTAGTGTTTTAATTTTTAAGGTGCTCCAGAAAGATATTCTCTCAGGAAAATGAGGTCATGAAAAAGCAAAATATATTCTCCACACTTAATTTCAAAGAAAAGCCAACTTTTGGGACAGGGTTCCCTTTTCTACAATTTTGAAACAATAATTTCTACTTTTTGGGACTGAGGATAAAATAAAATTAATATTATGAAGGTAGTCAGAAAGGATTTCAGGTCTTCATTACTCTAGTGTAACTATTTGTTTTCCATATAAATATTTCAGGTCATGGAAAACACAGAAAAGTAAGCTATCGTCCATTATATTATTTAGAGACACTACTTCAAAAGTTCGTGCGAGTGTATGCTTGTTATATGGTTATGTCACATTTGGCTTTTGGTACATTTCTCAATAAAGACTTTAAAAACTGTAAGTATTTTTACTGACTTTTTTCAGAATTTCTTGTTTAAATGCTATGAACTAAAATATAAAACAAGTTTCAGAAAAATATTCCTGTTTCTTATCTTTGAACTAATGTATATGCACTTGAAGTCCACCGAAAACCATTATCATTAATCTGAAGGAATGACATCTGAAGTCTGAAATGACACAGGAGCAATCATTACTAAAATAGGACACATCATGAAAGTGCACTCTTCCCACATGGAGTTATCGGTTACACTGTCATCCATGCATAACAAGAGGGCTATAGTCTTTCATTCAACTTGTGGAAAATATGCTTCCTTGCTGCGTGCCCAAACCAATACTGTCAGGGAACAATCAATAGAAGAAGGAAATTAAATTGAACTTTAGAACTTCACCTGTTCTCTAGTGAACCAGCGGGCATCCTCTATTTCATTCTTGTCAACTTTAATTTCTGTAGACACTGCCACAGCTAAGCAACCAATCATTAAGGAGGAGGGCATTGGCCATGGCTGACAAGAGACATACTGAACATGGCCCACTCTGACTCCACTTTCCTCTTCTACTTCTCTCCGAACAGCGTCTTCGATTGTCTCCCCTAATCAAACGGGGCAAAAGAACAAGCTGTTGATGAACACACCCTGGACATTCTGCGATTCAAATGGAGCAAACATTTGAAAGACACTTTGGAGAATTCAAAGAATATGAATACAAGACAAAATGAAGAAAACATTATTTTTAAAAGGATATGACCATACATAGAATATCAAAATGTCAACAAGAAAATTTTCACTTATTAAAGTTCCAAATTTGTCAGGGACATTTTAAAAATAATAATTATAAAATCTACAATGATCTGCAACATACGACTGGCTGAACATTATACAACTATCCTACATACTGTCTCACTTAAATAACCCTCAGAATGACAAATTAAAAATCTGTAAATCCTGACATGGATTTAAGTGAGACCGTATGTAGGATGTTTGTATAATGTTTAGCCAGTAGTATGTTGCAGATCATTGTAGATTTTATAATAACTATTTTTTAAAATGTCCTTACATTATCACTAAACAGTTACAAGTTATCATTACATGACTTTTACGAATGGCAAGCTTTTTCCCTATTAAAAGCTATAACTCTTGTTACATTGTCAAACAATTATTACAGACAACTTTTCAGGACACTAAAACAGTTTAAAAACCACATATAATGTATTTTTTTTTCTTTTTAAGCAATTATTTTCCACTAAATGACTGCTGATTTGGCCAGGAGAAAATAATGTGACGCCTATAAATGTCCTCTATATTTCTGGTTTTCACAGATTTGAGAATCTGAATAGTGGAAAAAGTTTTTAAGTAAATGTATGTGGAAGTTTATAAACATCTAGCAATATGTAGCCTTACTTAGCAAAATATATTTTAAAATGTAGTTTCCAATTTCAAATTGATAAATCTCCTACACAAAAATTAAGAACATATCAATCAAAATAAAATATACAGTAAGTCCCCAAATTATGAATAATGAAGTTGCAAACTTTCACTAATACGAATGGACCTCGCATGAGAAACGCTGGTAGATGTGATCAAATCGAGAAATAGCTCCGCGTCTGCCAGGTACTGTCACAGTTGGGTGCTACTGTGTGCTTACTGCGCAGTGCCATAGTGTACAGCGGTACAGGGCTCACGCCGAGCCCAGGATGTCCGGTGGCAAGAGGAAAAGCAGGGTGATGTGGAGGGCGCTGGTGGGAAGTGCAAACAAATACACATTGTATACATGTGTCCCAAGTGTCTAAGACTCACTTTGTCGGACTTACGAACACTGACTTAAGATCATTCTCCTGGAATGGAACTTGTTAGTAAGTCTGGGACTTATATAACAAAATAGGTCACCAGCTAATGCAACACCATAAAAAGAAGAGATTAACATATATATTTGAAAACTCTTAAAATCAAAGAGAAAGGAGGATAAATAACCAAAACAGAAATAGGACAAACAATATAAACAGAATTCAAAGAAAAAGAAAATTCGATGCATAATGCGCATCTGAAAAAGATGCTCCATCAGCAGTAAAATGAAAATGAAAACAATGACTTAGTGTTTCATAACCCTCAGAATGACAAATTAAAAATCTGAGAATCCTAACATGGTGAAGATACGGAATAACGAAACATTTCATGTACTGCTGGTGGGAGGGTAAACTGGCAAGAATGCTTGTGCTCTTTGGCAACATCGAGAAAAGGTTAAGATGCTCACACAACATGAACTAACCTTTCTACTCTGTGAATATACCCGATACAACTCTTGTGGGTGCATAAGTCAAAGAAGAATAAAATACTCCCTGTTTGCAATAGGAAGAGCCTCCAAAGAAACTAAATGCCCACAGCAAGACAGAGGAATACATTACAGAATATCCACATATGTGTGGCAGTTAAAAACTGACCTAGAACTACAAGAAGCAGCCAAGTTATTAGGAACAAGGACTCAGAAGCCAAACTGCCCGGGCTTCAACGATCTCGGGCGAGTGATCAGTCTCTGCCATAGTGCCTCATATTTACTGCTGTGATAGTTCCTACTACGTGAGGCTGTGTGAAGACGTGAGTTAAGTACATAAAACCTCCAGGAATGGCTCTTCTACCACACAGGTTTACTGCTGTTATCTAGTGATGTGATGTACGACTGGAAGATGAAATTAAAAATTAATTAATTCAATGTATGCATTCATTTATTTCACAGGTACTCACTGAGTCTCTAATACATGTGAGATATCCACTTTCAGGGTTTGGGAGGCAGAAATGAATAAACCAAAGATCCTGCCTTTATGGGACTGGCATCCCGTAAGCACACACAGTGGACAAACACGTATCATATTAGGTTATGCTGCACGCACAGGGAAAAGTCAGGCGGCACGACAATGTGAACACAAGGCACAGGGCTCGCTCACGTACTGGGGCAATCACGAAGGCCCTTTGGGAAGGCGGCAGTGAGGACATGCCCAGAAGAGAGGTGTAAATCATCTAGGAGCCTTGGCCAAGAACAGTGTATGAAAGGACAAGTACCGAAGTTTTAATAAATGAAATTATTAGTAAAATATGAAAATTACATCATGTTTAAATTATTTCTTTAAAATGATACATTTAAAAAAATTTTTAAAAATGACTTTTATAACATGATAATTTACTAGAAATTATAACTCAAGATATAATTATAACTTACACCTGGAACTTTTATTTGGAAATTACGTTTAATGAAATTATAAAATGTATTCAGACAAGGCTTACCAGGTTCAATAAATCCAGCAAGACAAGTAAACATGCCCGGGGGAAATCTTTTCTGCCTGCCTAAAAGACATTTGGTCCCATCTGGATGAATAACTTGCATGATTACTACCGGATCTGTTAAAAGAAATCAGATACCTCAATGACAAGAAAAAATAATTTAGACTTACTGTACAAAGTCACTGTCTGGTAGGATAATATTAAGGTGTATTTCCTCTAGGAACAAGATTCTTTTCTGTTTATAGGAAATTGTTTCTTTCTGCTCTGATATGGTTGATGATGGAATACTCCAGAGAAATTTCAGAGAATACTATCAGTAAGCTAAAGACTGTTTTTGCTTTCCTTCCCACAATCTTAGCAACATTTATTCTCTACTTAGGGTATGGTATGCATATTATTTTTTAATGAGAAAAAAGTCTGACTGTAATACATGGACATGGAAAATATTAAAGTTTTATAGTAAATACAATAGATTTCCCTCTTTTCTATTCCAGAAAAATATTTTTAAAAGGTCATGTGGCTCTTTGTTAAAGTCATTAAAAAATTTAAAAGAGTTCACCTTTCAGAAAGTCATTAATGTAGCAAATTCTCCTTACTATATCACGATTAAGAACTAGGAATTAAATGTAAAAGGCTCTTGAACAAGAAGAACAGATGTCACTAAGCTATGCATTCTACTCCATGGAGACCTCCTCAGGTGTTGCTGAGTCTGTCTGTGTTTCACAGTTTTAAAGGGCTAGGTTATCAGCTTTCCAAACCTACAGCAGACCCAAAGCAGCAATCAGAAGGAAAGAAAGTATAGGCAACACTAGCAGTAATGAGAGCCTATCTCCCCACTCTACTGCTCTGGTAATGCTTTAAGCGGGCACTGAGTTGCTAGGGGCTTTCTTTATCTCTCCAAAGGAGGAGTCAGAGTGGTTGGCTTTTAAAATCACGTACCTCAGCACACCGAACTCATATCAAATTGGCCACCATTAAGAAATGACTAATTAGGCACAGTGTCTTTGATTAAAAAATCGTGAGAGTACGTAATACTTTTTTTTTTTTTTTTTTTTTGGTTTTCTCCGGTACCGGGAACCGAACTCAGGACCTTGCACTTGCCAGGCAGGCGCTTTTGCCGCTGAGCTAAATCCCCAGCCCCGAGTACGTAATACTTTAATACTTACAGTTTTAATAGGAAACTATGCTCTTAATAAAAAGTTAAAACTTTTAGTGTCTTTAAAAATTTGTCTTTCTAGAAATGTCTTATTCCCCAGGATTCCAGGCAACTGCAAAAGAAAGGGCTTACCCACTCTGGGGTACGATGTATTATGAACGCCATGGAGGCTAGGACAGTCTTCTTTCAAACACACTCTCTTATATCCACCTTCTTCAATTTTGGTTGCACTTCCACAGGTTGGGCAGAACTTGTACCGACTGTGCCAGGCAAGAACAGATCTTGCTTGAGCTACAACACCTTTTTAAAAAGCACAGAAAGGTCTTATGCTGTGATAAACTGTAAAAAATTAACATGTAGGTATAATGTGCTCAAGCAATAATAAACATGCACGCTGTTTTCTGAAGAGCTGTGATCAGTGGTTTTGGTATTTGTTTTTATGTGGTGCATTCATCCCTTGAAAGATTTAATCTTTTAGAAGAAAAATGAAAATGAGATTTGACTTTAATTTGAATAAAATGTAATTCTCATATAAGGGAGATGAACTAATAATCCACTTTACACACTATCACCTCAGGCTTTTAACCAGAGATTTTTAAATTTTCGGTGGACATACTTGTAGTATGTAGTGAATTTACTACTATGACTTTACAATGATGACTTTTAGAAAAACACACTACAGCTGTGCTGTGGATGTTACTCTGGTAGAGTGCATGGCTAGCACGTGGGAAGCTCAGTTAGATATCCAGCACTGCAAAAACCAAACTAAAACAAAACAGTAAAATACTACAAAGTCAGTTCCTAACAGAGACTTGAACTGTCAAGGAAACATTCAGGAAATGGTAGTCACTTCAGGCTGGTCCATGCCATTAAAATATATTACACATACAACAGCTGTGGTTACCTTTGTTTATGAAAAAGTCTCATAGTATACATTATAGAATGTATATACTTTGGCTATACCCTTCTCACTGGTATTTAACATGGCCTGATTAGACATACCACAACTGAGTTAGTAAGACTAGAAACTTCTTTTTAAATGGCTGATGAACTTGCTCTCCTTAAAATACATTATTTGACCTATGAAATTTTGAAACAAAACTATAATAAACAGCATTTAAACTGAGAAAATAACAATGAAAGTCGGTGAATTGCAGGCAACATTAAATATCTACCTACTACCTTCTAACATGTAATTTACACTAGAGCAGTGTACTTCAGGATCATCAAAATAGGAAAAAATAACTCTCATCAAGTACTGTGTGCCAACCACCATGCAAAGAACTTTATATAAAATTATTCACTTAGGGCTGGCGATATAGATCAGCAACACAGCGCCTGCCTGGCAAGTGCGAAGTTGTGAGTTCAATTCCCGGTACCAAAAAAAAAAAAAAAAAAAAAAAAACCAAATTATTTACTTAATGTTTAGAGAAATCCCATGAGGGAGGAAGGTACCGTAATTATGCTTATCTTCTACAAGAGGAAACAGATACAGAAAAGTAACACTGTAAGATTATCCAGCAAGTGAGTTTAGGGACCTCAGTTTCCTTACTAGTCAAAGAAAAAATAAAAATAAAGCGATCAGCTCACTTATAAGATCATTTTCATCTTACAATATTGGGAGTATATATACATACATGTGCATAGACAAAACATCGAGATATACAAAATCGTATATAGTATAAGATGAAAATGATCTGTGTATGCCCAAAGAGTTTTAAAAAAACCTCAAGAAAAGTCCAGTGATTTTTGCATAGGTATGGAGATAAAATATATCTCAGCAGGCTCTCTGCACAGTCTCTGGAAAGCCCCCCATCATGAAGGGAAGGTAGACATTGACAAAGGAACTCTTCCTTGCCCTTCATTTAACTCATTTCTGTTCTGTCCATGCCACTGACACTCCTTGTGCTAAATTCACCAACAGCTTCATCATACCAAAACTAAAGGTTCTTTAAAAAAAATGTACTCAAACTCCTAACAGCATTTGACATACTTGACCACTCTCTTGAAATACTCTGCTGTCTTGATTTCCTCCGACGTTATGGTGACACTGTCACCTTCTCTGGCCCTTCTGCTTAGACCTGACTTGTACATTTCGATGGATTTAGGTGATTTCCTTGCTGCTTTCAATTCTCTACATAATCCTGGTAGTTTCTTGGGATTTAAATATCACTTTGCTGATGGCTGCAGTGAGTCTCTCTACTAGCCCTCTTTCCTGAGTTCTAGAGTCTAAGATCCCTCTCAAAAATTCAATCTGAAAGAAAATTCTTCATTTACTCCAAGTCTGTCCTGCTGTCACTGCCCTATCCATCACCCTTTATTATAAAGAAATAGCATCACTACTAAAATCTCCTAGAAGTCACTCTTGCTTTTTTCTTTATTATATTCTTTACTTAATCTATTTGCAGTTATTGTTGATTTTATCTCCACTTATACTTCACCATGTACCCCTTTCTGCCATGTCTATTACTAGCACTTTAATATGTGCCCAGGACAAGGTTTCTACATCTACCTCTCACTTCTAAAGGTCTCAACTATAGACCAGTGTCTACCAGCTTTACATCCAGAATATCTCAAGCTCTCGGGTTCCTTACAACCATTCTAGTGCAAGCCACTGGATTTCCTACCTGGGCTATTATAATATCCCATTACCTCATCATTGACTTCCATATTTTGCTGTCATTCCTCCTGTAATTCACACTTTAAAACATCTAATATGAGGTTTAAAAAGTGCATTCATACAAAAAACACAGGCCAGCTTACAATATTTATATGGCATTTAGATTAAAACTCTAGTTCTTACCATGGGATAAAACGACTCAGCAACAAAAGGCAAAGCAGTTGAGGGCTTTGAGATATGTTCAGTGCATAACAGTGGCTCAAGAATTAAATGAACTCACCATACATTAAGGTTAATTTTAGGAAGCTAATTTGGGTGATTAAAACATTGTGACTGCCCAAGACAGCGGTGCTATAGATTGAACATTTCAGGAAGTTTCTAACAAACTAATTTTACTGCTTACCAGAAAAAATGTGCTTCCTGGAAATTATAAATATATGTAAGTTCAACTCAGTTCAAAAGCCAGATTATTACCAAAACAAATAAGCAGTGTTCATATCTTACCAGCTTCTTTTTCTTTCAACTGTAGAAGAGCTGGCATTGGAGGATGAAGAAAATAACAATTTTCATGTCTTTGCTTAAATTCTTCAGCAGCAATAGGATCTATACCTAGAGCAAACCAGGCCACCAACCCATCTTCCTCTTCTCTTGGGACTTCTCCAACATGATTATGTAAATTATTTTTCATTTCAAGCTCTACTCCGAGGAAAATCAAGGTGGTCTTCTCAGGCTGAGCCAAGTAATCTTTTATATCTGTGTAGTTCAGCTGACAAAGCCTGACTTCTGGTTGTTGGAAACTTTCTTTATTGCCACCTAGAGTGACCAAGGGATTTAAATCTGAGAAAAGGATATAAACCGTAGACGGATGGCTTTCTTTAGCGAGCAGCCAGTCAGAATTATTTCTTTTCTCACTTTTCCGATCCAGTAGTGTTCTGCTAAAATAATTTTCACACTCTTCCACTTCATTGGTTAGGAACCAAGGCTTCTTCCCACCTTTCGCATTAGCTAATAAGTTGGCTATATGCTTATAACCCCAAAATACAGCAATATCCAGTGCGGTTTGCCTTGATTTATTGACAACTGATCTATCACACCTACAGATGGAAGAAAAAAATTGGGCAGGAAAAATAAAATTGGAAGCAAACACCTTCTCCTATATATATTTCACAGTAATATTTCTAGGTACACATTACAGTGCCTCCATTTAATGATTTTATACACGCTTTCGTATTTTGGTACACAGCTTACTACTGGGACGATTAAAAGAATCAATAATCACAGTGAGGAAGGATTAGAGATAGTGGATACTTACAATTTCTGGGTAATTATTTACAAAAACTAGTAGTTTTATGTAGCATAAAGACATGCAGAAATTTTATAGAGTCCTTCATAATCATAATAAGGTTTTTATTTTTTATTTGGGAGAAAAAAGATTAGACTACTTATAAATTTGCTTCCCTATTACATAGGACAGGTTGTGCTTGCTTGGGCAGCACATATACTGTTAAGTATGAAAGGTTAATTTCTCAATAACAATAATAATAACAACATAGCCATGGATGTAGCTCAGAGGTACAGTGCTTGCTTGACATGCACCAGATTCTGGGTTTAATTCCCAGGAGCAGTTAAAAAAAAGTTAGTTTTTAGTTAGAAATTATGCTTTTTTTTAATATAATATATTGATTAATGAGTTACTTAATTGCCCAATAATATAAGTAGGGAATTTCAAAGGATACATGTAACCCAGAATTAAGCCACAAACCCTTTCAAGTGGCAGAGCCTGAAATGTTTACCCTTGCTCAAGCAGAAACTGGACAACATCCGGGTGGCCATTCCTTGCAGCATACATTAAAGCAGTCCAGCCATTTTCAGAAGTTTCATTGAGAAGAGACGGAGAATGACGGAGTATTCCTGTTAACTTGGCAACATCTCCTTCGGCAGCCGAATTGTGAAAGTCAGAAACTATTTCCCGTTTTGGAGTTCCTTTACCAGAAGACATTTCTTCCTTAAAAAAGAAAAGAGGAGAAAAACTTTTTGCAACGGATAAATGTTATGTTAGAATAAGTTTGCAAAACAATAGTCTAAATACAATTGTAGTCAACTGTCATCACAATATTCATTTCAAAACTGTTATCAGTTGAGAATTATAATTCAATTTATGTGCCCATGGGTGGGTATTAAAATAATGTATGAAGGGGGCTGGGGATTTAGCTCAGCGGCATAGCTCCTGCCTGGCAAGCGCAAGGTTGTGAGCTCGGTTCCCGGTACCGGAGAAAAACCAAAAAAAAAACAAAAATAAAATAAAATAAAATAATGTATCAAGGATTTCACAAAAGAGGCTTGAGATGGGGGAGGGGTAGTAACATTATAAAAGGCAGCAGGTAGCACAGAGACTTCACTATGGAGCAAGGACATGAAAGGGAGAACTTAAGGCAGATTAAAATAAAGGCAGAGCGTTTTTGTGGTATTCTATGATTCTATGGTACCAGCTATAGGTTCCTGCCCTTCAAGAAATTATTATTCTATCCTTAACTACTGAATAGTTTTCTAAGTTTTGCATAAAAATAATTTATTGCTTTACCTTGCAGTTAATTCTGCAATCCATATGGTACTGATTCTTGTGAGGTAGGCTAGGTCATGATATGTTTTATTCCAATGGATAATCCCTATGACTCAGCACTATTCTTGAAAAACTACTCTGTCTCATAGCACTGCAGTATTACCCTTGTCACATATTAGATGACCAGATATTTTTGATCTATTATTAGACACAAGTTCTGTTGGTCAATGTTCTTGAATCAGAGAGCTTTTTAAATCATTAACTCTATCTGCATTGTCATTCTGAAGTCACTGTCCCATACTTAAGAAATGTTATCTAATCATGTATTACATGTTATAGGGCACACACTGAACTGTGTGTATGAAAACATGTTTCAATAGTCTACGATCTTTTTAAAGTATTCTTTTAAGACAGGTTCTTTTCTTCTATGAAATGCTCTTAGGAAAAGATTTGGGATTCTAACTATTCTACCATTTCTAACAATCAGATACTTAGGCTAACGTGAAAAGTTACTGAAAGGTTTCCATAATTCCTTTGTAGTCGCTGTGGCACCGCCTATTGGAGACTACATGCCATGGTCAATATGGCACTGGCCCTTAGAGGCCATGTGCTAAGCCCCACCCTTCTTCCCGGAGTCAAATTACGACTTCCTACTCCTCTTTATGTAATATCCTGTTTCATTTTCCCACATTCCTGCCCAATGTTAGCCTACCACTTGAGCTAGCCCACCCCCTAAACCCCGCCTCTAGCCTGACTGTATTTAACCATTGTCCACATGACCCGGCCCCCAGAAGATTCTCTTTCTCTGTCAATCTTCTCCGTGCCCTAAAGCAATAAACGTGTTTTATTGTTTTATTACTCTCTGCGCTGCCAGCCGGACACCTTTTAGTTATAACCCATAATTTTTGACATTTGTGGCCTTAGGATTCGAAACAGCAATCTGGCTGATCAATTTTGTAGGGTAGAACAAAACTTAGGCAAAAATGGGCTAACAATTAACTTTCTTATTTTCTAAATGTTATTTCCTTTTCGTGTCTGTTACTTACAAGAGATTAAAACCTACACACAGGAATGGAAAAAACCTAATACTTAAACTGTTTACAAATTAAATTAGACGTGATCTCAGCATTGAGAAACAATTTTTTTCTTTCGATTTACTCTAGATTTATATCCCCATTTCTTTCAATTTAAGTACTTTAAAAATTTATGAATAACAAAAGCTGTAACTTTTTATGACTTTGAAGCACTGCTAAACAGACCTCTATTTGGTGTCTCATCCGCGCTTTCTTTTCTAATTATTTTTCACAAACTTTTATTACAGTTTCTTCACCAGGGTTTTTTTTTTTTTTTTTTTTTTTTTTAAACAGTATTTCACTGTCCTGTGTTTTCTTAGTCAAGGTGGCTCTTGCTACAGATCAATCCAGGTGATTGCAAAATGGTTCTCCAAACACACAAAGTCATTCACTACCTCCAGTGCAGCACTCATGTATACAGCGTTCTCTGAAGAAGTTTAAACAACAGAAGAAGAAAAAAACAACTGTACGTTGTGCACCTTTGGTTTCCCAACAGAAGAGACACCTAGAAACGACGCGTTACTCATTCTAGAGGTGTACAGAAGATCTGACATTTAGCTCTCCTGCCTGTTAACCTCTCCATTTATTGCCAGGTCAGATGAAAAGGATTTAAAGGCACAGTAAAGAGCTACTTCCTTCCCAAGATGAGGATGAACTATTCTGAGAGGTCATTACAGCAGTCTTAGGTTTAAAAGGAATTACAGTTTAACTAAATCAACATCCACTTTTACTGACCTGTAGTAACCTGGGGCTCAAAACTTGCCCGAGGTCACAGGGTTGGAATGCGACAGAAGAAGCCCCCATATAAGACTCGCTCACTTAAATCTCCCCTATTTAATGCATCCCACTCCCTGCCCTGGGCGGCCAATCACGTGCACACCCCTACGGGCTCTTGAAAGGGTCAAACCCGTTAGGGTTTACATTCTTGCCACTCTTGTGAGAATCCTTTTTTAAAAGTAAAATCACATCTAAAGTAGGGCTTTTACTCTTTTCGTCTGTCTTTTTTTTTTTTTTTTTGGTATAACCCATCTCAAAACTTGGGCTGGAAACGCCGCCGCCCGGCCCCGGGAGCCCCAGCGCGCCGACCCCGGCGCCCGTCCACCCCACGCAAGGGTGCGCCACGCGAGACCCAGGGCCCGAGCCCGGGACACAGGTCTCCGTCCCCAGAGGGGCTCGTGGGGCCGACGAACTCCCCTCGGCTGCTACTAACCCAGTGTAATCAGAGTAGCCGCGAACAGGATACAGTGGGAAAAGCCAACTCGCACTTTTCCCAACGCCGGATGCAGCCTTCCCGACTTCCGGCATAGCTCTTGGGTCCTCGCAAGGCTTCTTGGGAGATGTAGTTTGAAGGTCCCAGGCTGCGCGCCACCGAGGAGGGGCGGCCTTGGCGCAGTGGGTGCACTGGTTCTGGTGCCCCGAGGCCGAGCTGTGTAGAGGCAAGTGCGGGGTGGAGAAAAAATGTAGGTCCGTGGAAACCATTTTCAGTTTTCCAGTAATTCTCATCTCGCTTCATAACTTTCCCTCAGCCAATATTGTCCCATCTGACTGAGTTTTCCAAGCACGCTATCTTCTTATGTAAACCAGGAATACCCAGTGGACCAAGTCTCTTCTGTAACTGACTTTAAATAAGTTAATGGCACCTGCAAAACCTCGTTTTGCAAGTACAAAGTGGTAGTATATATTGATGTCTACCTCATTCAGTAATCTTTTAATAAGTATGTATCATCTGGGCATGGTGGTGCACACTTGTAAATCCAGCACTCCAGGAGGCTGAGGCAGGACGCTCTTAACTTCAAGCCTCTCATTACACGTTCGTTGTGAGGTTCAAACAAAGTAATGCAAAATGTGCCAAGGCTGACAAGGCTGACACCTACAATACAATTATTGTTGCTCTTACTTATTTCGTTTCCTGTACTTTCATGCTCTGTACCTACAAAAATGTTGTATGAGATTACAAAGCTAGGTGTTTGGCAGTTTTGTAATTCCTAGACCAAAGATCCTTCCTTGCCAATCAACAGATATAGGAGTCTTTTAAGATTGATTTTTGTTTCCTTTCTACGTGGATATTTTACCTTGGAAGACTCTCATGGTAATATTGCATATACTGGTTAGTCCTAACTACTTTTTTCAGATACGTCCTATACTTCTTTCCATGAGTGGTTATTTTAAGAGGTTATAGCCTTCAGGGATCAGACAAGAGATCAGAAATACTATTTAAGTTACCTTACTCAAATACTGCATCTTTGTATCCCAACATATATTTGAGTAGATACATTAGTATAATTTATTCTCATGCATTAAAAGCCAGCATCAGCAAGAATTAATACATAAATCTCCCAGCACTTAGAATTTTTGAAATAAATTCCAGACATATAACTAATAAAAATTTAAGGATAAGCTTTTTAAAATTATGAATCAATAGCTAACATATAAGCACTTTCAAAAGAATGTAACTACATCAGTAATATAACTAAATTTTTAACAAAGTTCTGAAATAATATGACATACCCAACATAAAATTATTCAATCACCACATAAGTTTTATGTTTTCAGTTGATTCACTCAAATCAAGAACTGAACAGCCTCCACATGATGTTTTAATGTCTTTACTCTCACTTTCCCAGCAATTTTTTGTTGAAGATTAACGATTGTTTGCTCTGTACAGTTTACCACGCCTGAATTTTCTTAGGTTGTCCTGTGGGGTTCTTTCCCCGTATATTTCTTATAAGCCAGTAGTTAAATTTACAGGGATTATTTAAGGTTTACTTATTATTGCCTTGCATTACTAAGTGTACAATGTATGGTTGTCTCTTTGCCACATTGTAGTTGACCTTTGCTTACCAGTGTTGTCAATCTCATAAAGTTAATGATAAACGTAAATTTCCTACTGACTTTTTGGTTAATGGTTATAGCAGCTATTGATGACTATTTTATTAGAGTTGCAAAATGGGGATGTTCTAAGATGATAATTCACTGCATGGTTACGAACAAGAATTTTTATAGTAAAAAAATGTTCTCCTTAAGCACAAGTACAGTTTGTAAGGAAAGGTAAGGTAAATATGTGATTTGTCCTAGTTACTTTCTCATTGCTGAGGCGCAATAGGTTTTGGCTTTCAGTTTGTAGAGGTTTCTGTCCCTAGTGGGTGGCTCCAAGGCACAGCTACAGGGCAGAGGAGAAACAGTCCATAGCATGGCGGCAGGAAGCAGGAGAGAGATCAAGGGAGGAGGGACGGTGATAGAGCCCTCCAGACCATGCCTCCAGTAACCCACCTCCTCCAACGAGGCTTCACCTCCCAACATCAGATTTGGGTTAGTCATCAGTGGGTTAGTACAGTGGTGAGTATCACACCCCATTCCCCAATCGCCTTCCCAAAGCCCCACCTATGAGCACATGAGGCTTTGCGGGGACATCTAGATGTAAACTATAACGCTGACCTGGTATACCTCTTCCGCTTTCCAACCTCATGACTTATGCTCATGCCATTTTTCCCAACTTCAGTGCTTTCCTTTATCCAAATCCTACCTGCATCTTGCTTTTGGATCATCTAGGGAACATTTCTGTTCATAGGCTTATTAGTTTCCTATGAGTATTTCCTTGCACTTATGCTATTAGTGTATGCTGCCCATTTTTCCAACTCTACCTTCAATATGTTTTGGCCTTGTTACTTTTTCTAATTACTAGATTACATGTTGCCTTCCTGCTCAGAAGATCGGTATATCTAGATGTTCAATGCTTTTTTTTTTTTTTGAGACAGGGTCTCTGTATGTAGTTCAGGCTGGCCCTGAAGTCGCTATGTAGCCCAGGCTGGCCTCAAACTTATGGTGAACTGTCTCAGCCTCTGGAGTGCTGGGATTACAGGAGTGCTCCACCATGCCCCACGCACAGCTCAGTACCTCTTGGAAGCAGCTCTCAACTAATGACTGACAAGACATGAATTGATATATAAACACCTCAGCCTTTCTTATCTTCTCATGCAGGAGAACATGTTCTACACCAGCTTTCAAAATTCCCCAGTGTGATTAGATTCTTTATCTATAATGGGCATTTATTTATTTATTTATTTATTTATTTATTTATTTATTTATGCTTTTGTGATATGGGAGACTGAGCTCAGACCTTCACACTGAGCTATATTCCAGTCTCTGTTTTTTTGAGCCTGTGTCTCACTAAGTCACAAGGTTACCCAGACTGGGCTGGATCTTGTAGTCCTCTTGCCTCAGCTTCCCATGGACATGTGATTAATAACCAGCTTTTCATTGGCTGTCTTCACTTTCCTGTTTCCTTACCATTGCTTTCCTTCCTCACTGCTCCACTATCACTTTCTCATAGATGATTAATTGCCTGTGAACCCTTGTCTCAGGATCTGCTTCTGGGGAAACCTAAACTGAGACAAAGCTTTTTTTTCTCTTTTTGCAATTCATAGCATTTATTATGTGATAGTTTTCTTTCTCTGCATAGTTTGAAAGAACCATTAATATCATTAAATAAATAAGTCTCTATTACCAGTCATACTGGAGCACATTAGAGTCTCTTGCCTTTATGAGGGCAGTGTAATTGCAAATCAATGCATGAAATTTGGATTGATTGCCCTTGAGACAAATAATTGGGAATTCAAATCTCCTTTTCCTCTCCTCATAGAATCATTTTAGAAAATGATTTGTCCTTTGCTATTATCAGCTCTCTAAGGCTGCTTGGACCTCTTGTACTTTAGTGTTAACTGATTTAGAAAGTCACTTCCTATCTCTTTAAGGGTGCCCTGAAAAAAGAATGTTGTGTACAGGGCACAGAGTGTTTTTAAAGACAGAAGTATGCCAACTGTCCTGCACATTTAGTGAAAATTAATCACTTTTTCCTCAATCAGATAGAAACTTGATTTTATGAGTAACATACAAATAAAAGTATATTTAGATAATTGTACTTGGAATAAATGAATCCTACCTGGAGATATACTATCTGGAGATATTTCTTTCTTTCTTTTTGCATTAACACTTCAGATATTCTTGCCTTTTTCTCTAAGTTATAGTTTTTTTTAAACAGAGAGTTTAATTATTTTAAAATCTTTTACAATAATTGTTAATTTCCATTCGCCTATAAGGCAGCTAAAAATAGTAGCTGACATGGATACAATGTGGAAGGAAATGTGCTTATTTTATTTTAAATAGAGAAAAAAATAAAAATGATAATTTCAAAATGATAGGAAATTAACAGTGGTTATTATATTCCATATTGTTATCTTCAAAGTAGTTGCTCAGGTGCAGACATGCAAAATTGATCAAACAATATAAGCACTAACTGTTCTTTTCAATGAACTAATGGAAATTAGTAGTACAATTATCTTAGCTACTTTGTGTATATATTTATTTATAGATTTCCCTTCCTTTTTTTCTCCTTTCCCCCATCCCAGTTGTTCTTTCATTTTGAGCAGTTTCTTTCCCTTCCACAATATCTGTTGTACCTGTTGGATCTTAAGAAAATATGCTTTAAATCTGTACAATTCAGAGGTAAGTTTAATACAAATGTATCTTGAACTCTACATACCGTTGTCTGAGGAGTTTCTAACTTGCATACATAGCATGCATATTTTGCATTATTGAACGCACCAAGTTTGCCCTGGTCTTTGGATCTTTAGTTTAGCTATTTTCTCCTTTAAAAATATTTTTTTTCTCTATTTCTTCTCATTGTAATCATCTTCTTGTCATTCAAGTGTCAATCTAACATTGTAAATCTAAACAGTAGCAGACACCCAGTACAGAGTTATATGGCACGATCAGAAAAGGTATAATGGAGATCTTACCTATGTCTTTTTATTGTTTCCTGGATTTTTTGGGTAGAAAATATAGCCCTGGTTCCTTGCAGCTAGACATGGCTATTTCTGTTACTATTTCTAGCTAGTGTACTGTTGATAAAAATGGTGTTCTTCTGCTTAAGGCGTTTAAGAGATAGGATATAGCCTTCTTGATTTTTATTCCCCTTTTATGGCAATTTAGATGCACTTAAAAACACAAAGCAATAGAAGTGACATTTACCTTGGTAGAGAGCTATGAGTTATGCAATAGATTTTGTATATGAAAATAAACCTTGTGGTGTAAACTGAGTAGTACAGGATACAATGAGGAGATGCCCTCTGAACTGAGTTTCAAGGGGTGAA